AAATGATCTTGTGCTGACAACACTGGGCTTTCGACAAGCCAAGATAACTCGGGAATACTTGAAAATGCTTGAGTAGCAGATTTTTCTATTTCGATCAGTTGCGCTATATCCGAAGGCTCAATTTTTCTAATCAAACATGTCATCTATATATCCAGTATAAAAATATTTAAATATCATCTAACTAATTAGCTCAAACCTAAAATAAGCAGGTCCGATATTCTCTTTTTTCATAATCATCACAATCATAGCGAAGATTATTCAATGCGCTATTGAGTGGATAAATCTAAATGATAGAACTGATTGAAATCAGACTCTTGATATTCTGAAAAAGAAGCACCTTTGATAAAACCAAATTTTTTATACAAGCAAATTGCGGGTTCAAAAGATGAGTGTGTTCCCGTTTCCAAACTCAATTTTTGGTATTCACGTTGTTGTGCAATCAATAAAAGATGTTTCAGCATTTCTGTTGCAGCACCTTTACGTAAATGTTTGGGATGTGTCCGCATAGACTTTAATTCAGCATGTGTAGATGACAACTCTTGAATTGCACCACAAGCTAAAAGTTCATTTTGTTCCCAAAGGGTAAAAAAGCTAATTTCGGGTTGTTGTAACGCAGTTAGATCTAATGCAAAACTATGCTCAATCGGTGAGTTTTCATGCATACCATGTAAATGAATTCTGAGTAAATCTTGTACTTGCACATCATCAAACTCAGCAAGTCTAATCATTTTTTAATACCCTATTCTTGAAAATTCTTTCACTTTATCGCTTATATCTTACAAGAAATTTTAGCTGAAATGATCAGGCATAAAAAAGCCCAAGTATCACTTGGGCTTAGGATCAGCTAAATTACTTTAGAATTCATCTATGTCGAATTAATGATAACCATGCAATTGACGATATAGTCCTGGGGTAACCCCTGTCCATTTTTTAAATGCGCGATGGAAGGTACTGGTTTCACTAAAGCCCACTTGTTGTGCTACATCTTCCAAGGTTAAATCAGGATTTAACAACAAATGAATTGCAGCATCTCGACGCAAGGCATCCTTAACACCTTGGTAACTCTTACCTTCTGCAGCCAAGCGACGGCGCAAGGTTTGTGGTGATAAATACAACATTGAAGCCACATCATTTAAGGTTGGCATTTCTTCACCAATTTGACTCTTTAAGACTTCACGAATACGCGAAGTTAAAGAATTGGTATTTTTGAATTTCACCAAAAGCTGAGCAGGCGCAGCTTTTAAAAACTCTTCTAAACTTGCTTCATCCTGACGAATCGGTAAATCCAAATAGTCTGCGGCAAAAGTAATTTCAGTACGTGGCATATCAAATTGCATCACAGGTGCAAAGAACAGCGCATCATACTCATCTGCATGATTTGGACGCGGGTAACCAAAATGTACCCGTTCTAAAGGAATACGACGTTCAATTAACCATGAAGCTAAACCATGCCAAATCATCAACATACTTTCAGTAATAAAATGATCAGGATCCATAGTTTTTGGAATCAATGGCACTAAACGCGCTTCATGTTTGTCACGTTCGACCGCGACCGACCATTCATCACCAAATAATTTATAAAATTGTGATGATAACTCTAAAGCATCACCCAAAGTTTTAGCGTGGATAATCAATTGGCACATGATGGCAAAAGATCCCAAACGACGAGGTTGGATATCAAATCCAACATGTTCATCTTGGGTCACCATCCACAGCATTTTCACAAAACGTGTATATTGCTCTGGTGAAATACGTGCTTTAGGTTGGCGAAGTAATTCTGCTTCTATGCCAACATGTGAAAGTAAGGTGTCAACGTCCATTCCTAGACGCTTCACACCTGTTAAGGCGGCATTCACAAAATGGATACTGATCGTATCACGACTCATGGTAAATCCTTCACTCTCTTTGATGTTCACTAACAATTGACCTAAATGACGCTAAAAAATATTTTATTGGCGATTTACAACAGTGCAGATCACCTTTTTACATCATAAATTGCCGAAATGATCAAGGTAAATGGCTGAACATGACATTGTTTTGTTAATTTTATATTTCTATTATGGGTGTAAAATCAAGACAGTATTGGTAAAAACAATTATGACAACAGCTTTAAAGGGATTGAAAGTACTCGATTTTTCCACTTTATTACCCGGTCCATTTGCAACTTTATACCTTGCAGACCTAGGTGCAGAAGTGATCCATATTGAATCGCCAACGCGTCCAGATCTGGTGCGCTTGTTCCCGCCTTATGCCAATGGACAAGCGACTTCACACAGTTATCTCAACCGAAATAAACAATCCGTCACTTTAGATTTAAAAGATCCTGCCAGCATTGAGCAAGTTAAACAGAAGATTTCTGAGTTTGATATTGTCGTTGAACAATTTCGTCCGGGAGTGATGCAACGTTTGGGTTTGGATTATCAAACTTTGGCTGAAATTAACCCACGTTTAATTTACTGTTCAATTACGGGTTATGGCCAAACTGGCTCATATAAAGATAAAGCTGGACATGATATTAACTATATTGCCCTGTCTGGTATCGCAGGACACTGTGGTCGCCAAGACAGTGGACCACCGCCGATGGGGATTCAAATCGCAGATGTAGCAGGTGGTTCCTTACATGCTGTCATCGGTATTCTTGCTGCTGTAGTTGAACGCCAAAATAGTGGTCTGGGACAATATATTGATATTTCCATGACCGATTGTGTGGTTGGACTCAATAATATGGCAGCCGCAGCCAGTTTGGCGGGTGGTCAACAGCAGCAACGTGAATCTGAACAACTTAATGGCGGCACCTTTTATGATTATTATGAAACGGCCGATGCTCGTTACTTATCTATTGGTAGCTTAGAGCCACAATTTATGACTGGACTGGCAAGCGCGTTAGAATTGCCAATCCTTCTACAAAAAGGTGCTTCTTTCGATACTGAAGATCGTCAAATGGTCAAGCAAGCGATTCGAGATAAAATTAAAAGTAAAAATCTGGCTGAATGGAATCAACTGTTTGAACAACTGGACGTTTGCGTAGAACCCGTACTGAGTTTAGATGAAGCACTACAGTCCCAAATTTCTCAACAACGCAATTGGGTGGTCAATGTGCCATTGAAGCCTAATTCTGATCAAACTGAACCACAGTTAGCCTGTCCAATTAAGTTTTCAAGATCACAAATGCAATATCACTATATTGGCCAACAACTGGGTGAAGGGAAATGGTAATTGCCCATTTAATACAACACAATTCAAGTTAAATAAAATTACAATTCTGTCATTTTACTTACAATTTGTATAATTTGTAACCTCAGCATCCTGTGTAATCTTAATTCTAAATACGTTACACAGGTAAGCTGATCTTTTCAGATCAATTTTAATCTATGGTTTTTCAATTAATTTTTAAATAAAATTTAGTAGTTTAAAAACAATAGATTAAATTGACCAAAAACACCCAAAAACCCAATATTCATTTATTAAAAAATTATCACCATGAGATAAAATACTCACATTAATTACAATTAAAAGTCAAAAATAATAGATTTTTATACAAATATGAGAGTATTATAAATAATTAGTTACAAAGTGTTATCAAGGTCACCAAATATGAATAAATCTAAAGGTCACTTTTATTGGGCTATCAGCTTATTATCTTTATGTAGTTCTTTTCAAAGTGCTCATGCAGCTGAAGCATTTAATGCAGAAAGCCCATGGATGTTTGGTGATTGGAACGGAAAAAGAACCGAGCTCCAACAAAAAGGTTATGACTTCAGCTTCGGCTATACCGGCGAATTAGCCACCTTATTAGATTCAAAAAACCATTCAAGCCATGGTACTGAGTATGCAGATCAGTTTGCGATTGGTAGTCATGTAGACTTGGAAAAAGTGCTTGGATGGAAAGACACTGAAGCCCAAATCACCATCACTGAACGTAATGGTCGTTCATTGTCGCAAACTTCTGATGCCCTTGCAGGACAACTCAGCTCAACCCAAGAAGTTTGGGGTCGCGGTCAAACTTGGCGCTTAACTGATTTTTGGATCAAGAAAAAATTCTTTGAGCAAAAATTAGATATTAAAGTGGGTCGTTTTGGCGAAGGCGAGGATTTTAACAGCTTTGACTGTGATTTTCAAAACCTTGCACTTTGTGGCTCTCAAGTGGGTAACTGGGTAGGCGACCAATGGTATAACTGGCCTGTTAGCCAATGGGCTGCGCGAGTTAAATATAACATCCAACCTGACTTATATGCTCAAGTCGGTGCTTATGAATACAATCCTGAAAACTTAGAACGTGGCAAGGGGTTTAACTTAAGTACAGACGGTTCACATGGTGCAATTATTCCTGCGGAAGTGGTTTGGCAACCAAAACTCAGTGCTGCAAAATTGCCAGGCGAATATCGTTTGGGCTATTACTATAGTACTGTCGATGCACAACGCATTAAAAATCCAAATGAAACAGATCATAAACAAGGTGGATGGCTGGTTGCCAAGCAACAATTTACAGCACACCACGGTGATGCACGTCGTGGCTTAACTGGTTTCATTAATTTAACCATTCATGACTCAGACACAAACACTGTCGACAATATGCAAAATATTGGACTGGTCTATAAAGGTCCTTTCGATGCGCGCCCTCAAGATGATGTCGCAATCGGTTTTTCTCGTATCAGCATCAACAATGATGTGAACGATACTCAAATTCGTCAACAAGATGAAGAGTACAACACTGAAATTTACTACGGTGTACATGCAACAAATTGGCTGACGATCCGTCCAAATGTGCAATATATTCGTCATGTTGGGGCATATAAAGATGGCGAAAATGCATGGGTTGGCGGTATCAAATTCCAAACTGCATTCTAGTGTTATAGATCATAAATATTTCGATGCAATTTTAACTCTTCTCTCCACTCGCATCGAAATATTTAAAATCTAAAAATTTAAACAATGTGCTTCATCAATCCTCAATGGAAAGGTAAAGCATAAAAAATTAATCAAATAGATAGGTGGTCAATATGCAAACTCCATCTTCAGGACTCAGAACCCTAACAGTTGTGATTGCAATTGTTTTCGGTGTAGTTCTATTAGGCGGCGGAGTATGGCTGGCAGCACTGGGTGGGTCTTGGTACTACATCATTGCCGGGATACTTTTCATTGCAACAGCAATCTTATTACGCAAATTAAATAGTTCTGCTTTATATGTCTATGCAGCATTAGTACTCGGCACAGTTGTCTGGGGACTCTGGGAAGTCGGTTCAGACTTCTTCGCGCTTGCACCGCGTTTAGATATTTTAGGTGTGTTTGGCTTATGGCTACTCATTCCAGCAGTAACACGTGGTTTCGATGCCAAAGGTGCTAAAATTGCACTTTCAGGTACATTGGCGATCACCATTGCGGTTATGGCTTATTCTATCTTTAATGATCCACAAGAAATTCGTGGGACTTTAACCAGTAAACAACCAACGCCAGCAGCGATTGATGGTATTGCAGATGCAGACTGGCCAGCTTATGGTCGGACTCAATCTGGTTTACGCTATTCTCCGTTGAATCAAATCAACTCAGAGAATGTTAAAGATCTTAAAGTTGCTTGGACCTACCGTACAGGTGAATTCAAAACTGAAAATGATTCAGGCGAAACAACCAATCAGGTCACACCGATTAAAATCGGGAATAACATGTACCTGTGTACAACCCATCAAAAATTGGTTTCTCTTGATCCTTCTACAGGTAAAGAGAAATGGGTATTTGATCCAAAACTCAAAGCGGATAATACCTTCCAACATTTAACTTGTCGTGGTGTTTCTTATTACGATGCAGACAATACCGTTGGTTTCGCTGCAAGTTTACAAGCAAAAAAATCCTCATCTACCGAATGTCCGCGTAAAGTTATTTTACCAGTCAATGATGGTCGTATCGTTGTAAGCAACTTTAAGATCTTTAACATTCTCTGAGTTGATTTGATTCAACGGAGAATAGCGTAAACCAGATTGAGTCCGACCATAAGCTGGCCAGTCTGCATCTGCAATACCATCAATCGCTGCTGGCGTGGTGTTTCTTATTACGATGCAGACAATACCGTTGGTTTCGCTGCAAGTTTACAAGCAAAAAAATCCTCATCTACCGAATGTCCGCGTAAAGTTATTTTACCAGTCAATGATGGTCGTATCGTTGCGGTAAATGCTGAAACAGGTAAAGCATGTTCTGACTTTGGTCATAACGGTGAAGTTGATTTACAAAAGGATATGCCATTCCCTTATCCGGGTGGTTATATTCCAACATCACCACCTGTTGTCACAGGCACCACAATTATCATTGGTGGTTCAACGACAGATAACTATTCGACTCAAGAGCCTTCTGGTGTTATCCGTGGTTATGATGTAAATACTGGTGCATTACTTTGGGTATTTGATACAGGTGCTGAAAATCCGAATCAGATTCCGGGTCCTGGTCAGAAATATGTCCAAAACTCACCGAATGCATGGGCTCCGCTTGCATATGATGCAAAACTCGATATCGTTTATGTACCAACAGGTGTAGGTACGCCAGATATTTGGGGTGGTAACCGTACCAAGCTGCATGAACGCTATGCAAACTCAATGTTAGCAATCAATGCAACAACAGGTAAATTGATCTGGAACTTCCAAACAACTCACCATGATTTGTGGGATATGGATGTACCATCACAGCCAACCTTAGCTGATATCAAAGACAAAACTGGACAAACTGTTCCAGCAATCTATGTATTGACTAAAACAGGCAATGCCTTTGTTTTAGACCGCCGTAACGGTAAAGCAATTGTACCGATTAACGAACGTCCAGTACCACAAAGTGTAAAACGTGGTCCGCAAACTAAGGGTGAATTCTATTCTCCAACGCAACCGTTCTCAGACTTTAACTTAGCACCTCAAGAAAAATTAACGGATAAACAAATGTGGGGCGCAACCATGTTTGACCAGTTAATTTGTCGTGTGTCATTCCACAAGTTAAATTATGACGGTATTTATACTCCACCTTCAGAAAACGGAACTTTAGTTTTCCCTGGTAACTTGGGTGTATTTGAATGGGGTGGCTTATCACTTAACCCTGACCGTCAAATCGCAGTCATGAATCCAATTGGCCTACCTTTTGTCAGTCGATTGATTCCTGCTGATCCGAATCGTAAACAAACAGCCAAAGGTGCAGGTACAGAAGCGGGTGTTCAACCCATGTATGGCGTCCCTTACGGTGTTGAAATCAGTGCATTCCTTTCACCATTTGGCCTACCGTGTAAACAACCTGCATGGGGTTATGTTGCTGGTGTAGATTTGAAAACGCATGATGTAGCTTGGAAACGTCGTATTGGTACAATTCGTGACAGTATGCCAGGTATTCCATTGCCACCATTTAAAATGGGTGTGCCAATGTTAGGTGGTTCGATCTCAACAGCGGGTAATGTGATGTTCATTGGAGCAACACAAGATGATTACATCCGAGCAATCAATGTCAGCAATGGTGATGAGCTATGGAAAGGTCGTCTACCAGCAGGTGGGCAAGCAACACCGATGACCTATGAAAGCAATGGTAAACAATACGTTGTGATCATGGCGGGTGGTCATGGTTCATTTGGTACCAAAATGGGTGACTCTATCGTTGCTTATGCATTACCAGATAAATAATCTTAAATTGAGGTAAATAAAAAACAGGTCTTGATGGCCTGTTTTTTATTGCTTTATCTAAATCCATACACTTGTATAAAAGTGAATCTGCTTTTGGGATAAGATAGATATTCTATCCCCCGTTTGATCGCGATATCCATACCACCATGCGATAGCCAATCTTTAAAATGCCCTACTCTTTACCTGACCATCAAAATGAAAACAATCTTCAATACGAATTTTTTGCACAGGTGAAAGTTGGTCAAAGTCAAACCATCGATACTCAGAATGCTCATCGCTTAAATTGATTGACTGATCGTTCTGCAATGTACACCTAAACATAAATGCATGGGAATTTACTGCAGCATGATAATAAACCCCTGATAAATATTCGATCGAAACATCACAGCCTAATTCTTCTTGGCACTCACGAATCAGCGCATCATGCACTGTTTCTCCCTGATCCAGCCCGCCACCAGGTAAGCCCCATGCATAATCTGCATAGGTTGCTTTCAATAACAAGACTTGTCGATTTTCATTAAAAATCACAGCGTGCGAACTCAAACGATAAAAATCATGAAATCCCATTGCTCAAAACCCACTTAATTGATTATCTTGCCAAATAACATTTTGAAAAAATTAAACGTAGCGCATAAACAATTGCCATAGCAAAAACAGCATAACCCACTTGGGTAAAGATCATCGGAATACAGAGTACGATGGCGGCTGTAATTGGATAAAACCATTTCTTGATTCCTGAAAGATGGTGAATTTCCTGTAACAACCAAAGGCTCGCAGTATAGACAATCAAAGAGATAGCAACAAAATAACTGACGATGTCAGCCGAGATCTCAGCCTTATGCGTCACCACATCCACCGCAGCAGCTAAACCCGCACCAAGGGCTGCAATACTCACGAAAATAAAAAAGTGACCATAGCCCCATGAAAATGCACGTTTACGACTATTGAGTCGTTCAGCCACATCATGATCGAAATATGCCCACCACATGGTAAACATAATCAATAAGCCACCAATGGTCAAAAAGATTAATTCTTGGCTTAACAACTGATTATTTAATGCATCAGAAATTGCTGCGAAACTTCCAATGATCGATTCACCAAGGACAATGATGGTGAGTAAGGCATAACGCTCAGAAATATGATGTGGATGCCACGGTGTCATGTTATTTACTTCAGCAAAGATGGGCACACTCAGTTCAGCAATGACCAAAAGTAGAAACAAATAAATGGTAAAATTTATCGGGGTAAAATGAAAAAGTAACCAGCCAATCTGTACGATGATAATACCAGCCGCATATCTCAACGCTGTTTGTTTACGCTCAGGATCATTTTTGGCAACACGAAACCATTGTGTAACGAGGCCCAAACGCATGATGACATAACCAATAATGATCACATCAAAATCTTGTTGCTGAAATGCGCTAGGTATCCCTGCTGCAATCACAAGTGAACCAATAATCTGCACAAAGGTCATGATTCGATAAAATACATCATCATTGTCGTAGGCAGATGCAAACCAGCTAAAGTTCATCCATGCCCACCACAACGCAAAGAACACCATAAAATAAAGTGTTAAGCCATGTGATAAATGATTTTCGATAATGCTATGGTGTAATTGTTGCCCTGCTGTAGCAATGGCGACCACAAAAATTAAGTCAAATAACAATTCTAATGAGGTTGCAGCGCGATGTGGTTCGTGTGGATTTCGTGGAGCAAGTGGCTTTAACCACCCATATTTTACAAATAATGAATTTGGCATTATTTTCACATTATTGAGATTATTATCATGATTTTTCCAAAACTCTAGCTTTCATTCAAGTAAAAAACTGAGTTCTTTTGACAATTTTGTTAATGATCTAACATCTATCTCTTAAATTTAAAAATTCATAAATAAAAAGCCCAATCAAAGGGCTTAATAACAAACAAATCTAGCTTGCTAAACCACTAATTTCAATTTAGCAATGTCTTTAATCACGATCGCTTTACCAGTGCTCATATCAATCGGCATCGAAATATGTTGATGTACGACTAACCATTGATCACCTTTCTTTTTCAGACACAATGTTGTTCGACACCATGGCATCTGCAACTTATCTTTAAGCACAGAATTTTCCACTTTTGAATGGCAATGCAATACAGCCAAATCATTTGACGCATAGATCTTCATATTGCGACGTACAATTTGCACATTTTCACTAAAATATGGACTGAATTTCTCCCATTCTTTTTTGTACGCATCGATACCGTCTAATTGTATACTCACATCAAACATATTGATATCATCCGCACATTGATCTAATAGATGATCAATTTTATTACCAAGAACAGCAGCATCCCATAATTCAATTTGAGATATTATCTCGTCGGCAATTTTCACATTACCATCGATTGCTATTTTCATCATAAAACCTCATTATTCTTATTTGTGATGAATTTAACACTTAATAAGTATTATGTGAAGTGTTTTGTTTATTTTTTCATATCTAATCAATTTAAATCAAAATAATCACTGTTCATTAATCTGATTTAAGCAGTTTATAAAACCAACCGTATTATGCTTAGATATTAACCAAAACCTTTCACAAAAATAAATCACTCAATAATACAAATAGATATAAAAAATTCGCACTTCATCATAAAAAGCTTATTTCTAATTTAGTTAATAATTCTTCAATAATTTATTAACTAAATTTAATAATCTTTTTAATTAATGTTGAAGCTGTTATTAAATAATCATTCTCCTTTTATTTAATATTGAAGTTAGCCTAACATATTTAAACTTTAAAAAATCTTTAAAAAAATCATAAATGACTATGAGAAAAAATCATACTACCCCTCCAATATAAGAAGAAACTCAAAACTAAAAATATAAATAGATGATCTAAACTGATATCCAACTCAAGTTTATATATTACGCTTGGAATGATTATTCTATACAACTTAATAATATATATTTTTATGGTTTAATTTCTATGTTTTAAAACCCATTGCAACCATTCAAATATTAGAATTTTATTACCATAAATAGACACTTATTTTTTATCATTTGTTTTTTAGATTCAAAAAAAGCATGTCATTGCAATGACATGCTTTTACTGATTGATGTGGATCATTTATTGCGGATTTAGGTTGGTTCTGTTAAATCTTTTATTTTCTCTGAAGGGCCATTTTTCTTCACCGACTCAATTCCATTATCTCGCGCAGCATCGCCTGAATAGAATTGACTTGTTCCGATAATTTGATGATTTGCTGCTTTTAAGTTGAAATAAGGTTTACCATTTTTCGCTTCTAGGCGATCATAACGTGCATCATCTGGGCTATTTTTTTGCACAGATGCAATACCATTTTGTGCAGAAGCTTTTGCTTTATAGAGCTCACTGGTGAGAATAATTTCCCCATTTCCTGCTTTTAATACAAAGCGATATTGACCATCTTTAGCTTGACTAATTTCATACCATCCTGACATGGTTCACCTCTTCATTATTTTCGGTTTATTTTATTTCACAGCGCTTATTGGACATAAATTACGCTACTGATATGAAATATAAATGACTTTTCATGTTAAAAAAAGATTAATTTGTTATAACTTTATTGTTTATGTAACGATGCAGAGTTACATAGTTCAAATCAGAAGAATGCTTTTATTATTAAGTCACAATAAAATTTAAAGCCATTTAAAAAAAATGACTTTAAATTTAGATTCTGCATTTAGCCACTAATGATCAATGATCAAAAAAACCTGTGCTGGTATAACCTGGATAGACTGTTTTCATTAAACGCTCGATTTCCGAATCATTGCCACGTAAAAAATTTTCCAAACAATCCCGAAATACCGCAAAAGGAAGGTCATCGTTATCAAAACTGGGCATCGCTTCAGATTTAAACAAACCAAAAAAATGCGATTTTTGTTGTTTTTGATAGAGTTCAGCATGTGCATTAAAGTTATATTGATTGCGACTATAAACCACAAATAGTCCGCCGAACTTACGTCCAGTTTGAATATGCTCAATTTGAAAAAATGGAAAATCACCGTGGTGCTCCTCCATGTATCCCCAGACGACTTGTTGCATCCAATCAATCTGATCAAAACGACTTAAAATTTGCGTTGCTGCATTACTTTCAAAATCAAGAGAAGTTATTTCAAGCTCTTTAAATAACTCAATTCGAATTTTAAAACTCATCAGGATTACCTTTTATACACATCGCTTATTTAAAGCATTCAGATTTTTGAAAAGCGACAAGAAAACAGCAGACTCAGAACACTATGAATCAGCTGTTTCAGCACTCAATTCGATGAACAAACTAACAGATTACTGGAATATCAATCCATGCACTGTTCGGAAAATGTTTCACCAAATAATGCTTTAAAAATTCTGCGGTATCTTTTGAAATCAGTTCATCCTGAGATTCATCATTTAAATTATAAGCAAGTGCATAAAGCTCAAGCCCACGACTTTTTAAAGCCTCTAAACTTAAAATCGTATGATTAATACTGCCCAATCGGCCTGAGCTGACTAAAATCACAGGAAGCTTTTTCTGGACCACATAATCAATTGAAAGTAAGCTGGTGGTTAGGGGTACCATCAATCCACCTGCACCCTCTAACAAAACAACATCATACGTTTCAGAAAGTCGTTGAGTAGCATCTGCAATTTTTTCAAAATCAATCTCACGCCCATCAATTTTGCTGGCTAAATGAGGCGATGCAGGATAGCTAAAGATTTCAGGCATGGTGAGCTTGGTTTCATCCTCTGGAAACCAGCCCATTCCCATAATCTCACGATGTTGTTCGATATCTTCTGAAATATCGGTATTACCCGTTTGGATTAATTTCTGCGTAATGGTTTTTTGACCTTGCTCATTCCATAATTTGGCTAAATATCCGGTGGTATAGGTTTTGCCAATTCCAGTATCTATTCCACTGATAAAGTAAACTGATCCAGTCATGACATTCTCCGCAAAATACAATAAATAGGATGATAAGTCAGTGAGTAGCGTATATTTCCTGACTGATCAGCCTGTGAAAACTGTTGATAGTGATGATAAAAATCGGCGAGACTCTGCTTTGTCCATCTAAAGCCAGATGCTGTCGCAGTCACTCCTGTGGCTTTTAAATGCTGCAAAATATATTTGGGATGAGAAAAATTGAGATGCTCAATTTGCTCTGAAATATGTAGAATTTCAAAACCATTTCGCTTTAATTGTTGTTGCAGATCGTCAAGGGATAGGTAATTCAGACCTTGCCCTGTTAAGCTTTTAATTTCCTGTAAGTTATGCTGTCCAAAAGTTGAAAAACAAAAATACGCATTAGGATTTAAATGATTAAAGGCTTGTTGAAAAATGCCATTTAAATCACTCATCCATTGTAAAACGGAACTTGAGCTAATTAAGTCTAAATATTTTGGAAATTCAAGCTGTTCTATATCACCAATCCGATATTCAATCGGTTTATCCGCAGAAAAATGCTGCTGAACTTCCGGATATAGATCATTTAAAATCAAATGTTTAATTTGCAAATTTTGCAGTAAAAGCTCAGTTAAATTTCCTGAACCACAACCGATTTCAAACACATTTTCATAGTGTGCTGGGCAATATTCACTTATTAAATTAAACAGTTGTTGTGCAATATTTTTTTGTACGACCGCATGTTCAGTATAGCTCTGCCCTGCCTGAGCAAAACGCAAGGCAACCTGTGATTTATCAATTTCTGGATGTTTCACATTCAACTCACAGCAACGGAGTTAGCTGATCTAGATCAGCTTGGGTGATTTGAGCAGTTAAACAGATACGTAACCGTGAGCTGTGTTGCGGCACAGTCGGGGGACGTACAGGCATAATATAAAATCCCACATCTTGTAATGCTTTGGCCTTTTCAACCGTTTTAATCGAGTCACCTACAATGACCGGAACAATATGTGATGTTGATGGGCACTCAAAACCTTTGCTTTGAACAGCCTGTTGTAGATACTGACTTGTAGACTGCAAATATTGACGGCGCTGATCTAAGCCTAAAACTTTCTGAAAAATAAAGTTTGTCCATGCCATACATATTGGCGGTTGTGCTGTACTGAAAATCAAAGAGCGCATAGCATTAATCAAATAATCTCGAATCACAGCATGACAAATTAAATAACCGCCAACTGAAGCGATTGCCTTTCCAAAAGTCCCCACGAGTAGATCAATATCATCAATCACCACATATTGTTCAGCACAACCTAAGCCCTGCTCACCACGTACTCCAATTGCATGTGCCTCATCTACATAGAGCATGACTTTGCAAAACTGTTGCTTAATACTCACCAATGCAGCTAAGTCAGTTTCATCACCATCCATACTAAAAATCGACTCAGTCACGACAATAATGCGCTCGAAAGCCTCATCCGCATGATATTTTTGTAAAAGCTGAGTCAAATGATTTAAATCATTATGACGATAACGCACATATTTGGCAGAGGATAAACGAATCCCATCAATCATACTGGCATGAATCAATTTATCTGCCAGAATCAGTGTTTTACTGTCTGCAAGTGCAGGTAAAATACCAATATTCATATGATAGCCACTGTTAAATAACAATGCCGCCCGACCATGAAAAGCCTGAGTTAAACTATTTTCAAGCAGTTCATATTCTGGAAAATGTCCAGTCAACAAGCGTGAAGATGATGAACTCATTCGTCGTTGATCATTAGGTGTTTCATCAAAAAACTGTTCACGTAAGGTGAGATCAGATGCCAATCCTAGATAATCATTTGAAGCCAAATTGAGCATTTGATGCTGATCAAGGCAGATATAACGTCCTTGCTGAACATTCGAACGAAATTGGCGTAAATTGCCTTGATGTTTAAGCACATCAAGCTGCTGTGAAAAATGCTCAAGGTGCGTATTGATCAAGCTCATGTGCTTTGCTCCATACCTTTGACCACCTCGACCAATTGTTCCAGCAAAGTTTTTAATTCTTGTGCTGTGATGACATATGGAGGCATGACATAGACCAATTTACCAAATGGTCGTATCCAGATACCACGACGTACAAACTCCTGTTGTAAGGTTTTCATATCGACATTCACCGTCAATTCAACCACCCCTATCGCACCAAGAACTCGCACATCATGAACATGATTAAGTGACTGTAAGGGCTGTAAAGCATCTCTAAGCTGAGCTTCAATTCGTTGAATATTGCTCTGCCAATCTTGAGAAATTAATAATTGTGTACTTTTGACAGCAACGGCGCATGCCAAGGGATTTGCCATAAAGGTTGGGCCGTGCATAAACACACCCGCTTCGCCCTGACTTATCGTTTCAGCAATATGCTTGGTGGTTAATGTCGCAGAAAGCGTCATATAGCCACCCGTTAAACCTTTACCGATACACATAATGTCAGGTTCAACTTGTGCATGCTCCCATGCAAATAGTTTTCCTGTACGCCCAAAACCCGTAGCGATTTCATCAAAAATCAGCAAAACATTGTATTTTTCGCAAAGTCGTTTGGCTTGACGCAAATATTCAGGATGGTAAAAACGCATCCCTCCCGCACCTTGTACAATTGGCTCAAGAATTAAACCTGCAATCGTTGCATGCTGTTCAGCCAAAGTTTTCTCAAGTTCAGCAATGTCACTTTGATCCCATTGCTCATAAAATCCGACTTGAGGGGCTGGAACAAATAAGCGATTGGGCAAACTTGAACCAAAAATTTGATGCATGCCCGTTACAGGGTCACAAACAGACATCGCATTCCAAGTATCGCCATGATAGCCAGATCGTGGGGTAACAAAATTAGTTTTCTCTGTATAGCCCTGTGAAGACCAAAACTGTACAGCCATCTTCAATGCCACTTCTACAGCGACAGAACCAGAATCGGCAAAGAACACCTTATCTAAATTAGGTGGGCTAAGTTGAACCAGTAATTTTCCAAGCTGGATCGCTGGATCATGGGTAAATCCACCAAACATGATATGTGACATATCCTTTAACTGATCTGTCACCGCTTGATTCAACTCAGGATGATTATAACCATGAATCGCACACCACCACGAAGACATCCCATCTATCAATTGGCGCCCATCTTCAAGTTCAATGGTTGCACCATAGGCTTTTTTAACCTTAAAGGTCGGTAAGGGATTGGTCATAGAAGTATATGGATGCCAAATATGTTGCCGATCAAAGTCCAGATCATCTAACTTTGATTGTTCAAGATCGACATCATCAAACCCATTATTTAAATCGGTCATCCGTTTACTCCATGTGCATTACAATTACAGCAAAAAACAGTTTAGCGATGTTAAACCTGCGCGCAATAAAAATAAATTGCGAGATTCACCACTGATCCATAGATTTATTCTATTTTTTGTAAATATTGGCAGATTTTGTCACTTAGACTTAAAAAATCAAAAACTGGAACGCCATGTGAACCATTTACCAGCTCGACATCTAAAAACTTTGCTGTGAAATTTTTAAATTTCTCATAGACTTTGTCACTAACTAAGAAATCCTGTTGAGCAAATATATGATACTGTTTGCCAGCATAGTTATTTAAGATCGCGACATTATTTAATTGCTCAAGACAGGCCAACCCCTGTTTTAATAATTCTAAATTTTGCGGCTGAATCAAACTTTGCAAATGTACAAAATCTTCTCGCGTGGTTGCGGTGCCCTGACAAACCATAAAACCAAATTTCTTTAATGTCGCAATCGCATCATGTTCAAAGGACTGTTTAAAGTTGTGAAAGGTTGTTTGGCTCATTGCCGTTTGCCACTCAGCATTTGCCACAAAACAAGGGTTTGAAGCCAGTGTAATCAAGACTTTTTGTTGTTGGTATTGCTGTTTAATTTGCTCGACCAGCAAGCTTGCCAATTGCCCACCTAAAGACCAACCACAAATCACATCAAAATCTTTGGCTTGCTCCACCTGCTGTTGTAAAACACTTTGATCCAGCGCATTAAAGATATTGATCAATACAACTTCATGACCTTGTTGTTGTAAAGCCTGTTGTAAAGCATTGAGTAGTTTGGTTCCACCACCCCAACCTGTGATCAGCAAAATACGTTGATTCAATTTAAGCCACTATAAAACAATAACGATGTTTTATTAGAGCATGCTTAAAATTGAACGACAATCGGACTTCTAACTATTTCTGATGGTGTAAATCGACCAATAAGCTGGCTGGAATCACTTTTTGCCAAGTGCGTTTAAATTCCTGATGTACTTGATCGATTGCAAACTGACTTTTTCTCGAAATTTCATGTGCTTTTGCAATATCATCTGCCCGTGTATAAGCAATCAAATAATCTAGTCCATCCAGTTCCACATGGAACCATGATTCAACATGCACACCTTCAGCCTGAAGTGTTTCAATTGCCTCATGCTTACGCCTATTCAATTGATTTTGCCATGCAACAACATCGTCCATCATGGCTACTTTTAGTTGAATCAATACTGCACCGACATCCATAATGTTAGGTTCTATTTATTTTAAACGGTCTTTCATCATAAATGGCATGTGAACAATTGCAAACATTTTACATTCCGCCTAAACCTTAAAATTTGCTAAGATCAAATCAGGATCAATTTAGGAAAGTGTTTGTCATGAAACTATCACGACTGTTCAGTATTAGCTTACTTTCCGTTTCAGCTTTATGCATATTGAACACGGCCAGCCATGCGGAAAGCTCTATTCTCTCCAAACTGGATTCCAACCAAAAGCAATGGGTAGGTAAACCTGCACCAAGTTTTAAACTACAAGATCAAAATTCAAAATGGCACGAACTGAGTCAATATAAAAGTAAATGGGTTGTTCTCTACTTTTACCCAAAAGATGATTCACCAGGCTGTACACAAGAGGCCAATCAATTTAAATCACTCTACCCACAATTTATAAAAAATAATGCGGTGGTGCTCGGTGTAAGTTTGGATGATGTGAAATCTCATCAAAAGTTCTCCGAAAAGCTGGGGCTAAATTTCCCAATTCTTGCCGATAGCAATCATCAACTCGCAGACCAATTTGGAATCATCCGAAACTTGGGCATTGCCAAAATAGCAAAACGAGAAACTTTTTTGATTGATCCACAAGGAACGATTGTGTATCACTATAGCAGTGTAAATACCCAAACCCATGCCGATCAAGTTTTAGCGGATATTCAGAAGTTTTCAAAGAAATAACCACTGAAGCATTAAAAAAGCCTTTAGATGAATATCTAAAGGCTTTTTTAATCTAAAACGTCTCACCTTAAGCAAGAAACTTAATGTGTCTTACATTTGAGATTGAATATAATTCTGTAAACCAATTAACTCGATCAAACCTAATTGTTTTTCAAGCCAGTAAGTATGATCCTCTTCAGTATCGTTCATTTGTTGACGAAGCATATCACGGGTCACGTAATCGCCTTTTTCTTCACATAGCTTTACGCCTTGCGCCAATTTTTCACGTACATGATATTCCAATGCCAAATCGGCTTTTAAACAGGTTACAACATCTTCACCTGTGACAATATCATCACGCTTCATGTTCGGCGTACCTTCAAGGAAAAGTACACGGCGAATTAAAGCGTCTGCATGTGAAGCTTCTTCTTGCATTTCATGATCAATACGTTCATAAATTTTGCTTAAGCCCCAATCTTCATACATACGTGAATGAATAAGATACTGATCACGAGCAGCCAGTTCGCCACCGATCAACATATTTAGATAGTCTATGACTTCTGGATTGCCACGCATTTCAATTACTCCACATTCTTTTGCAATAGTATGGACAAATTTTGCAAGTTTTGCAAAAGACAAAATGTGTAAGTTTATGATTTTTATAAAATTAAAATGATAAACATACGCATTTGCAATTTGAATAAGTATTTTTTCATATAAAAAATAACCGCTTACAATATTTCATTGATGGTTTATTGGTGATTTTTCATCAAATTTCAAAATGATTTATTTTGTAACCATTAAAAATGCTTCTTATTCACCCTCATTATTCCATTTTCTGTTCATTTTCAATGACAGAACCCTCACTTTATCTTATTGGCTTTTTTTAATGCTAATATTTCAAGACAATTTTAACTTTAATATTTATGATATTGAATATTAACAATTAGCAGGAAAAAAATAATGTCTCAGGGAAACACATCAGCACCTATTCTAGTTACAGGTGCAACAGGCTATATTGCCAGTTGGGTTATTCAAAAATTACTTGAGCAAGGTTATACCGTTCATGCCACTGTACGTGATCTCAATAAGAAACAAAGCTTTGCACATTTAGAGAAAATCGCGCAAGCCAGCTCTGGCACACTAAAACTATTTAAAGCCAACCTTTTAGAAAATGGTTCTTTTGATGAAGCCATGCAAGGCTGTGAAGTTGTGTTGCATATGGCTTCACCATTTGTTGTGACCAATTATAAAGATGCCGTTAAAGATATTATTGAACCTGCAATTTTAGGCACGGAAAATGTCTTAAATAGTGTCAATAAAACAGATTCTGTCAAACGAGTCATTGTGACTTCAAGTATCGCGTCTACTTATGGCGATGCAATTGATATTTTAAAAACGCAGCATAATCAGTTTGATGAATCTCATTGGAATACCACCAGTTCAACCACGCACCAACCTTACCCTTATTCGAAAGTTATGGCAGAGCGTAAAGCATGGGAAATGGCAGAAGCACAAAATCGTTGGACGCTGATCTGTGTCAACCCTGCACTGGTACTTGGCCCATCACTGACCGCAAATACACAGTCAGGGAGTGTAGAAGTCTTAGAGCAATTTGCCAACGGCATGACCTTACTCGGTGTCCCACCGATGTGGAATGGTATTGTGGATGTTCGTGATGTTGCTGATGCGCATATTTTGGCAGCATTCAAGGAAAATGCAGCTGGGCGTTACATTATTAGTGGTGGCTCACTCAGCCTTTTGGAAATGGGTAAAATTTTACGTCAAAATTTTGGACAAAAATTTCCTTTTCCACGCAACCAAGTTCCGAAAAAAGCATTTAAATTTATTGGACCTGCATTTGGCTATTCGCGTGATTTTATTGAAAAGAATATGGGCTACCCTATCTTTTTTAATGCTGATAAAAGCAAACAGGAACTGGGGATGAGTTATCGTAATATTGAAACCAGTTTAGTCGAGCATTTCCAGCAGCTCCTTGATGACGGTGTGGTGAAGAAATATATTTAATAACAGCTCAACTGATTTTTAAATCAAAAAAGCCTTTTTCAATCATGAAAAAGGCTTTTTGGCTTATAGCGTTCAATATCAGCTAAGGCTTAAAAATCAAAAGTTACGCCAGCTTTATAAGTACGGGCTCCCCCCACCACTGCATAGTTTTGGTTAAACATCCCTTCCCAATATTTTTTATTGGCGACATTATCCACATTGAATAAGAATGTAGTATTTACCCCACCTAATTTTGTTTTATAACGAGCGCCTAGATCAACAATAGTATAATCAGGTAATTCAAGTGTATTGGCATCATTCATATATTGATTACCAACATAATTTGCACGAGCATTGACATTGAACCCTTCAAGCATCGGAATTGCATAATCTAGCCCTAATGATGCTGTCCACTCAGGTACACCAAAAACCGTATTTCCTTCATTTGATACACCTTTGGTTACTGCAGCTTTAGTTAACTCTGCATCTGTATAGGCAATATTTCCAAGCAGATTTAAGCCATCCATGATTTCACCTGAAAATGACCATTCCACACCGCGAGAACGCGTTTCTGCATCATCTGTGGTAATCTGCGTATTTTTATTTGCATCAGCTTGATTAAAAGTAGTCACCATGGTGCTTGGTTTTTCAATTTGATAAAGTGCAAATGTATTTAACCAAGATCCTGCCTGATACTTCGCTCCAACTTCATATTGTTTGGTTTGAAAGGGTGCAAAGGTCTTTCCTGCATTCACATCTTTTAACGTTGAATCTACAGTTGAACCTTCAACTAAACCTTCCACATAACTTGCATAAAGAGAAAGATTTTCACCAAACGGTTTCAATACAACACCTAAACTTGGTGAAACTTTATCATCACTATAAGCTGTCTTTTTCTGAAGATTTTTAGTGTCTATATCTTGGTAACGTGCACCAACGATTAACTGTAATTTATCATCTAACATTGAAAGCTGATCTGTTAAGGTATAACTGACATATTTATTATCACCCAAAGGTAGAATCGTAGGATTCGCTAAAGGCATATTTCCATTATCGGATGGATTGTAAATATTGGTCTCGAAAGGTACAGGCGTCGCACCTTGTCCAGTATGCTGATTGTATTTACGTTTCAGATAATCTGCACGTAAACCTAAAGTATGCTTGATCATACCTGTATCAAATTTTGCTTCAAAGCCTGCATTGGCAGCAGTGTTATGCTCCTGTGAACCCACTCGGTAATATTGTGAGGTTGCATTTCCATTTAAATTCGTCACAATCATACGAGTACCAAATAAATGTCCCGCGTACTCTTTCTCAACATAACCTATTCCAGCAAATGCTTTGATATCAGGAGTAAATTTATATTCTCCCGATAATCCAACAAAATTGCTTTTAGTATTTCCTTCTAAATGCGGAAAATAATTTAAATCCCCTTTAGGTGCTGCGAGCACTTGGCTAATTCCATTCCCTTTTGAGTCTTTTACTCCCATTGCAATCATGGCAGGAGAACCACCTTTGCGATTGTCACGAATTGCATAAGAATCAAAATTAATCTTTAGTTTATCTGTGGTGTAATCAGCAGCAATCGCTCCTGAAATATGACGATCATCCATTCCATCAACAATATGCTCGCCTTGACCATACACACCATTCACACGCACACCAAACTCTTTGTTCTCACCAAAACGACGAGATACATCAAAGCCTGATTGATAATATCCCTCATCTTGAAACGATGCAGAAACTTGGGTGAGTTCTTGATCTGCTCGTTTAGAATTGGCAATCACCACAGCCCCTACACTGCCTGTAGGGGCAACACCAGTTACCAAAGCATTAGGACCTTTAAGTACAGTTACCGATTCTAAAAACTCTGTTGGAATACGTCCATAAGGTGCAACACCAAAAAATCCGTTATAGTTCATATCTTCATGATTGACATCAAAACCGCGAATTTTAAAGTTCTCGTTTAAATGCCCTTGATTGGTTGTAATCCGAATCGCAGGATCATTTTTCAACACTTCAGCCACAGTTTTAGCTTGTTGATTTTCAATCAATTGTTCCGAATAAGACGTGATACTAAACGGCGTATCTATAATTTTCTTATTTCCCAATGGCCCCAAATCTGTATTTTTTTGCAAAGCACCATTGGCAAATGTTTGTTTTTCTTGTTCTTTTTCAGCAGCGACCTTAATCGTAGGCAAAGCAGTAATTTCATCATTTGCCCAAATTGTTTGTGTAAGTCCCCCACCAAAAAGCACGATTGAAATAGAATTGACCAGAAATGTTCGAGAAAAATTTTTCATATAAATAATAAGACACTTTTCAAATGATAATGATTATTATATATACTTTCACTATTGTTAAGAATTGTAATTTCTCATCTAAAGTTAAGTTTAATGGAAAATTCTAATAAATAAGAATTATTATCATATAGCGTGCTAATGATAGATCAAGCAACCTTGCGAAATACAATCGCTAAAACACAGTGCTCAAAGTTTTATTAAAAAATGATGACTTGTTGATTTGCTATCGCATCAATCTCGAATTGATGATTTTAATTTTTGAAAACTGCAAAGATACAACAACTGTATCTTTGCAGTAATTTTAGAGTTAATTTAAACGAATCTATGCCTGTCCATACTCAGCCATTAATGCTAAAAACTCCTGCTCATTCAGTACAGCGACACCCAGTTTCTCTGCTTTTTCAAGCTTAGAACCGGCTTTTTCACCCGCAACCACACATTTGGTTTTGCTCGATACACTGCCACTGACACGCGCACCAAGTGCTTGTAGCATTTGAGTCGCATCATCACGCCCCATGGTTGCCAATGTGCCTGTGATCACCCAACTCTCACCATTTAAAGGCTGACGGGTGGGTGCAATTGGTGCATCCCAATGGATCCCTGCTGCAAGCAAACGATCAATCACTTCAAGATTATGTGGAGCTTGGAAAAAATCAACAATCCACTCAGCCGTAATATCACCAACATCTGGAGTTTTCTTTAATGCTTCAAGATCAGCATGACGAATCGCATCCAGCGTCTGGAAAGTGTTGGCAAGCATACGTGCCGTGGTTTCACCTACACCACGAATACCCAAGGCATAAATAAATGCAGCAAGTGTGGTTTTCTTACTGTTCTCAATCGCATCCAATAAATTTTGGACAGATTTTTCACCCATTTTTTCAATGGTCAGTAACTGCTCACGATGCTCATGTAAGTGGTAAATGTCGGCGACATCCTTTAACAAATCAAGATGTAATAATGACTCTACCCAGCGATCACCGAGACCTTCGATATCCATCGCTTTACGTGAAACAAAGTGGCGAATGGCCTCAATACGTTGTGCAGAACAATATAAACCACCCGAACAACGTGCCAAAGCCTCCCCTTCCGGCATGACCACTGGAGAAGAACATACTGGACAATTTTCAGGTAAATGTACTTCTGTCACGTCATTTGGACGAAACTCTAACCATACTTTTTCAACTTTGGGAATCACATCACCACTACGATAGACACTGACCGTATCGCCAATACGAACGTCCAGACGGTGAATTTCACCAATAT